GTAGAAAGTCTGTTCAAAGCCCTACTTATGATTTATGTGGAATCGATATAATAATTTATGATTTTTTTTAATTTAAAATGTATATATAAAATCTGAAAAAATTTACTTTTCACATCCTCCATGTGGGAAATTTCATAAGTCTTAGAAACTTACAACAAGCAACAAATGAGTACAAAGGTCGAAACTAGAAGAGATAATTGTTTGCTTTACTTCTTTATTTACTGTTCTATGTTTTAAGAAAAATAAGTTTAATAACTTATTTGTAAATAGTATTAATGTATAATAATTAAATGTGACTATATTTTACAAAATACTAGTCACTAAAACACAGCCAAGACAGGTCACTTTGTAAAGGCCAGTATTATATTATTGGATACAGTATCATGAGTGCACGTGTGCAGCATCATTGTAACTTTTGTACTGTTAGTCAGGCTTGGCTGAAAGGTCAGTATAATAAAAATAATTGATATATATAAATGTATAATGTTATGAGATTTAAGCTATTTAAACTAAACATTTGTGTTTTCATGTTACTATCTGTAGTCATTCTAGAACAAGAAAAGCATAATTTAAATTTATTTCCTTTTTTTTTGGTGGTTACAAGGCTGGTCAAACTGACAGACCCATCGTGTTAGGGTAGAGAAAATAACAGAAAAAATATAAAGTTTTACTGAAAACAAACATCTGAAGTGTATTCAGGAGGTTTTAGAGATTACACAAATAATAATTGAGATCATTGGGATGAGCAATAGTTTTTTTAGTTATAACATGAAAATCACTTCGCACTTGGACTGGTAATGAAACAGACTCAAACAAATCTGTAATATAAATACTTCATAAAAAAATTTGATTTTTTGTGTACGAAAGACTCATAATCTTTACTAAAAGTCTACCAAATTTTGTGAAGATACACTTACTGCATTAAAAGTTAAAGTATAAATACTTAACTTGTGTATAGTATACCGAGCCCATCGAAAAAGGGTTAAATTGGGATTTTGAAAAATTTTCTGATCCACTCTAATATTCTACTCCAATTTAATCCTTGGTTGTCGTACTCCTTTCAAGACAAGGTTTTGTTGTAGCAGTCATTTGGTGGAATAGAGCAGCAAGTTCAGTCTTCTAGACAGATTTATTTTCTTCAAGCTGTTAGAAGGTTTTGTCTCAGAATTATAGGAATGTCCTTGTGAAGAAATAAAATGCAACTTCCTCTTAAAGTTTCAGTGCTCCATTGTCTGAAAGTACCCCAGGTTCTTCCTAACTAAAGAAGTGCTCTAATGTTTTTCTGGGTGTGAGCTAAGGTCTTCTCCCCAGATTTCGGTGACTGCATGCCACCAGGAGGGGCTATGTTTAATTGTTCATAGATCAGTGACCTTCTGTTGTTGTTTGACCTTGAATTCAACAACTGCTGGGGTATGAGATGAGAAATGATGTGACTGTTTCTCATATAATTTTTTCTTTAATTTCTGTTAATTTTTATTGCCTTTTTTGTAATCCTTAACAGTATTAAGGTAGTTGACTATTCAGGTGACTGAAGTCAAAATATGAAGATGTCAACTACAAAGTGAACTCTTTGGAAGTGATCTCTAGGTATTTGATTATATATGTCAATCAGATACCAGAAAACCATTTGAAAACCTTCCTAAAATGTGCATCTGATTAGGTTTGAAACAGAAGCCAGTTGTATACCAAAGAAATTTTTATCTACTTTTCTAGGTTTCTAACTGTAGAGCTGATTATATTTAAAACATTAATTCAAGCAACTGGAAAAGTGAACTTCTGGATGCTGTTTTAATTCACCGACTGTATAGATTATCAGAGTTAAAACACAAGTCAGCCAGTCAGTCAGCTACCAGATCAAATCTTGTGAACAATACTGTACAAATTATTAGTGCTAAATTACAAGTCAATCATTCACAAGATGAACTTTTGAGAACTGTTGTAAGGAGCTATTTATACAGTTAAAATACAAATCAATCAAACAAAATAAGATAAATATTGAATATTTCATTATGGAATATTAACTCGTAGATCAGAATCACTTAATTTTTTGTTGATCATTACGTTAATTTTGCTTATGAAAATTCTTCTAGCCTCCTTAAATTAGTCTATTAATGTTTTTTTTTTCTTTGTAAAGTTACATACATTTGATAAAGTTTGATAAAGGTAAAAAACAAACTTGGAAAACAGCTTATGTGAATTTTCTTATTTTCAGTCAGAGATTGGATTTGGCAAGACAGAAACCTACACTAAACTAGATAAACTAGGAGAGGTAAGCTAGGCAAAAGTTATTTTTATTTATATGTGGTTGTTTGTTGAACAATTGATATGTAAGTATGATTTTAATAATCTCTATGTCAACATAAATGAAATATTTCTTTTTGTAAGTTAAATTGCTCTTTCGTTACATTTCCCCCCCACACTGGTTTTTAGTAATTGAAAAAAAGACTAAAACATGTTTTTATTCCATCATTTCTTCCCACAGGAGTCTTAAAAGTAAGCATTAGATGAGGTGTATGCATCATTTTGTATACTTGATCTCGTAGTTTGAGACTTTTGAGGTGACTGTGGTGCAGTCTTCATTGTTAATGTAAATCTATGTAACATAAACTTATCATCATGCTAAAACAGTCCAAGTGTAGGAAGAGATTGCTGAGGAAGCATGAATATCAGTAGCATTCTTGGCAAGCAAATGCTTTACTGGCAACCTTCCATGCTGTAGTATGGTTCATAGAATTAGGATAGCCATAGAAATCAAATGACTTCTCTGTGTTTTCCTCTTTAGCATTATTGTATACCATAACTGCTATGGAGATAGGATTTCATGTAGAATAACATAAAGTTAAGCTAGATATAAAACATACTGTGTAAGTAAATGGATAAGTGTATGTAATATATATAACCAAGTGGAACAGGGAACACAGTATACAACTAACTGAACCAAAGACTGTAGTGTACAGTTATAAACAAGAAAGATGATGTACAATTATATAGCCATATGATTTAATAGCTGAAAAAACTGTGTTACAAAAAACCAGTTTAATAAAACGTTTGTTTTCATGTTTTCAGCAAATAATTTTCATCAAGTAGTCCTTCTGACATCATATATAACTAATTGAACCAGACATATGATGTCAAACTAAGTGAAATATAGGCTATATAAATATTCCTGGTTCAGGAAACACGGCATAAAATTAATTAATTAGTTAATGTAGCTTAAAAATAGAGAGAGAACCAAGGTACATACGAAGTTAGAGAGAATGACATAGAAAAATGTGAATCTAGTTATTTACATTCAGACTCAAGAGGATATAATGTATATGTGAATGACTGTGTGTGTACAAGAAACAGGTGAATGCCTCAAAATGCATAAATCTTAATAAAGTTGTACATACAAAATATACACTTCTCTTTTTACACTGGAGCATTTAAGAAATAAATTCATTCTTCTTGCTTTTCAGGAATAAAACAACTCTCTGGATGATTTATGTTCAGTATTACTGATGTGCACATTTTTTCTTAAAGTCATTGTGATGTTTATTTTTCAGTTTTATGGGTTTGATTAAACATTTGGCTCATTTTTAAAATGTCACAAATCTATATGAACTATACTGCTTGTATTCTTATCTACGTCTTTCTGTCTGTACTTGAGACATTATACATTTCGGTACATGTCATCCAAGTTTTGGGTTCAGACTTCTCAATCAGATTTGAGTCATTGTTACTTATGTTTTTAGGTATTTTAAATTTATAACATTTGAATCCATTTAGAAAAATAGAATCTTTCTCTACGACAAAGGTGTAACATTTTTATGAACTGTCTTACAATAAAAAGGATTTAAATCTCATGTTTTCAGAAATTTATTTATATGTGATTGAAATATTTAAGATTTTCATTTTGAAGGCTTGTTAATTTTTTCTACTATTATAATGAGGGCTTTGTTTTCAGGGTACATATGCTACTGTTTATAAAGGGAAGAGCCGACTAACCGAGAACCTTGTTGCCCTAAAGGAAATTAGATTGGAGCATGAAGAAGGAGCTCCTTGTACTGCCATTAGGGAAGGTGAGACTTATAAATAATGCAAGTTTATGTCAGTATATTGTGAAAGTTAATGAGCCATTTTCAATTATAGATTTGCATTAAGGGAAAAAATGTTCTTATAACTGAAAGTGTTTACCAAGTTCAGTATCTTTAGCAGAGATAAGTTGAATCATCATCTGTCACAGGAAAGTTTTAAAATATGGGTATGGTAAAAACATAATTTTTAGTTTGCACTAAGATTTGTGAATTTATATGTGTTTTTAAGTGCAAAACTGTATATCATCTCATAAAGTTATTTCTGCAAACAGGTATAAAAGCAGCTAAATCAAAGATTATTTCAGACAGTGTATAGAAAGAAGAGATGCTGTTTATAAGCTTGTTTCATAGTTAAGACTTTTTTTTAAAAACTACACAATAATTGTTGTGAATGTTCTTCCATCTTTCATAGTTTCTCTACTGAAGGAATTAAAGCACAACAATATAGTCACGTTACATGATATAGTCCACACTGAGAAGTCCCTCACACTTGTCTTTGAATACTTGGTAAGTAGCTCTTTCTTTATAGTTTTTACATGAGCAGGAATTGTTTGTAATAAAGTTGATTGTGTTTGGTTACTTGTATCAGTAGCCATGAAGGTAATAAGGTACTGAAGTGGGTTTGGTCGTCTCTTTAGTTTCCCAAGTAACACACTGAATCAACTTCTAAATCTGTTGGTGTGATTTCATCAGAGGTATAAGGACTAATGGTATAGGTTGTAAATACGCTTTTATGATCTGGTGTAGTTGTGTTTAAAACTAAAAATTTAGATCATTTCTAGTTTTTGAATGTGTTATTCATTTTCACCCATTTTGTAAAGAAATAATCAGAAAAATGGTGTAGTGATATTGTGGGTAAAAGGTGCGATTACTTAGTACTAATGATATATATTGTATGTTATTGTATATATTCTATGCATATAGGAACAATGGGGCAACTTCCCTCCTGTAACACATGTGCACCTTGTTCTTATGTTAGTTTACTTTTGATATTATGTGTAGTGGCTATTAAGTGATAATTTTTTGTAAATTTCAAAGACAGTCTAATTTTTTACAGATGAACTGTTGAATTTATATCCTATTTTGTAATTGCATTTGTTTGCATTCAGGAACAACATACTATAACTAAAACCCTGAACACTTTGAATGCTTTGAAATACAGTTCTAGTATAATTGTCCTTCTGTGTATTTAATAATTGAACATTTCAACAATAGAACTGGTTTATTTGTTCACCAAATGAATAAATCTATAGAATTGTTTGGTTTCTTTTATATTACATATGTAATCATACTGTTGTAGGAATTTAATCATCTCTATACTCGTGAATTAATATTCAGTCCAAGTTTTGTTTAATGACTTTACATCTATTTATTCAGATCTTTTATTATATGAAGGATGTGAAACAAAGTTGAAAGCTTATTGATTTTCACAAAGATTTCAAAGTTTCCATTCATTGTCCTTTTGCTGAGTCTATTACACATAGAACAGCCCTTCCAATAACTCTAGAATCATTTACAACCATCTAAACAAAGAACACAGTGAAAAGCCAAACATCAAACACCTTAAAATAATAGACTTAGCAAAAGATGAATGGGTGCTAAGGAAAAAAGAAGCCCTCTTAATTAAAAAAATGAGGCCAAAGCTAAACAACCAGTTAACAGCATCACTGCATATCAAACTATGATCAACTTATCATGCTGAGATGGGCAGTGAATGGAAACTTTGAAACCTTTATGAAACAATTAGAAAGCTATGTCAACTGCTTCTAATTATTGATTTTCATTGGCAATATAATTTGTTAAATAAAAGTAGTTTTTGTACTGCTAAAAATAATAAAGATGGTTGTTAGTTGTATACTGACAGAAGATTGTAAGTAGAAATACTAACTAGTATGATTAGTTATCTGTTTCAAATTAAGACATCTCCTTCCACATCTAGGTGTTTCTAAATAGCGATTGTGGTGTAAAAAAAAACATGAGATATTTCAGTTTTTACTCTTATTAGTGGAATATCAAATAGTTTTACATTATTTTACCAGATTTGTTACTTATGACCTATTTCATGGTAACAGGTTATTCAGAATATGAAATATCTTACAATACAATAAAAAGATATTACAGAGATTGTTCAAATAACAAAACTTTAGTACTGACTGAGAAGCATTTTGATTTAACAACACCACTGAAGCAAAATAAAATTAACATATAGCAATAAACAAGAAATGCAACATTGTTACAAATTTTTATATAGAGCTGTACAGAACCATGTCACTAAACAAAATATTTATTGTATACAGTTAATAAATATATTGATATTCATGTTGAATACCTTCACATTCCACCCAGTAGTATTGGTGATTACTTGCAAAATACTAGTTGTTGAAAATTTTTAACATGACATGCTATTTAAATTTCATTGCTTATGTTGAGACATAACAGTATAATAGCATAGAACTTCATAAACATGATTTGCAGTGAATTTATTTTATTGGGTTAGTGATTTATTTGAAGGAATACTACAAAACTATAAAAATAATCTAAATACTCAACAAACAGATAGAAAATAGTTACTGACAGTGCTAATAAATGAGTCACCACAAGTTTTTTAAACATAAGCCACTGTTAAGGCAGTTATAGTTAGTCTTTAGAAAAGTTGATTAAAGCAGCTTGGCTTGTGAATTTAAACATTGAGAGTGCTCTGAAAGACAACTATGATAAAATTTCATTACACTAAAAGTTGTTTGCTCTTTCACACCTTCCTTTTTAATCCCGTAAGAAGTTTTTTGTTTAACCTTCTTTTTATCTAGACAAAATTTTCAGTGCCATTTTATGCATATCTTTTATACTTGCTGGAATTTGTTGCAGCTTTCAGATGAAAACTACTTAGGTACTGCTAATGGCTTTCACTCTGTGGTGAAAGATGGATGAGTCATATTCTAAGAAGTCTTCTTTGTTTAGGTGTATTTCATCATGATTTTTTTAGTTACTCCTTTTGAACATGGATCCTAATCAGTAGATGTGCGTTTTCATTTTGTGTAATCAGTTTCTTTTTAAGTGTTTAATGAAACTTAACCAAACGTTTTAGGAATGATCCAGATTGGTTTATAAAGAGGTACAATCAGTAATCACATTCAAATGGACTCCAGTATATATGTATATATATATATATTTTTGTTATTTAGAAATTGTAGCTATGCTTAAATTAAAAATATTGGGCCAAATCTTGTCAACAAGGTCAAAAAGAAGTTACTTGTTTTTATACTGCAGTGCTGTCAAATTATGGGTTTTTAAGTTGTAATTATGCACAAAAATCATAACATAGTACTTTTTCAAGGTCACGAAATGTCAGTGTTGTATAATTGCTTCTTTGTGAAATTGTTAGTGGGTGTCAGTTGTGTAGAGTGACTGAAGATGACCTTATTTAGTCAAAGACGTCACATTGGTTTATTGGTATCAGAGTTGGTTAAACTTGGATGTTAATAAAATTAAAAACATTGGTTACCTTGTTATAAATGAAAGTCTTGAAATAATTAACATTTTTATCAGTATCTGCCTTCATTGTAGATAGTTTTTTGGCACATTGATATTTAAAAATTTAAAAAAAAGACCACAATATTTTTCTTAAAATTGATAAAGCTGTGAGGTATGAAGGTTATTACCTGTAACTCCAGTATAAGTTTAACATTTAGATGAGTTGTACAAAATCAGAATATGAAGTTTGGACACTGTAATATGTAAGCAGGATATCACTCCCAGCTTGGAAAGTTAACCATTAAACAACTGGTTCACTTGTTTACAGGATGATTGACGATTTTGTGTTCTGTCAAGAGGTTACTGTTTTTGTTTCATTTCATTTTCAGAGAGGACACATTTCTAAAACATTAAAATGCAAAGAATTTCCTTTGTTTTTCAAAATAATGTTCAACATTGTATGTTGTACTTAAATTGAACTTTAATAAAGTCTGTAATTGCGTTTTTTCTTGGCATACTACATTTTTCATTTTTTAAGATGAAACTTGTTTATTGTCAAATGCCACTGCTCAGTGCCATGTATGAATGTGTGTTTATATCTATCTGTGTGTGTGTGTATAAACACAGAAAAACCGAATACAATCACAGCACTGAACTACCAAGTTTCTTTGATGTTCTGAAGCTGCTACTATGTCCTTGTTTTTAAGTTGATGGAAACAGTGAAACTTTGAGTTAAATGTAGCCTTTTGGAGTTATGTACTTTTTCTGCATGATTACAAAATTATGGTTCTAATAGTTATTGAAAAACAAGCTTATCAGTCAAAATGTAAACAGCAGATTTTTGTTGTGGAATAACTAAAATATAATTTACTAATCTTTGTATAAAATTAATTTCTGTAATATTTTGGAAATAACAATTTTGGTATAACAGAACAGCACAGTTAAACTATTTTGATGTTATTGTAACTGCTGTAAAGAGAGTTGTGGAGCAGAGTTTTAATGATTATTTTACTACACAGTTGCTAGTTTCAGAATTCGCTATATTTGTGTATCACATGTATGAATGCTCTAGGCAAAGTAGTACAGATTTGCTAATTTCAAACCTCCAGTTCTTAATATCTTTGTGTCACCTACCTAAATATATACATGTTATATGTGAATATGTTTTATATGTAATACAAAGTCAGTAGTTTTTTGTTTTTTTTTGAGAAACAAATTTCATGCATTGTGCTCATTGTTGTAAGGTAGCATTTATAATGGTTATTAAAGGTTAATAAAAAAATGAATTCTTGTACAGTATTGGGATTTAGAATTTTTTATTCTTAAAGAAAAAGTGCTGGACCAACAATAAGTTTACAGACTTGTGATGCTAAAATCCAAGGTTTGATTTCTGTGATAGACAGAATGCAGATAGCCCATTGTGTAGCTTTGTACTAATAAAACAATAACTTAAAGAGTAGGGGTGTGCTAGGTGAAGCCCAGTGGCTAGTGGCCAGACTGTGAAACTGAAAGCTCATTCTTCCTATTGTCACAAATATTATTCCTCACTTTTGGGGTCATGGGTATGTTATAAAAGTGACAATAAAATCCTACTGTGCAAATAAGATAGCCAGAAATTAAAGATGGCTGCCACAGATAGCTCTTATATAACTTAGTAGGAATATTTGAAACAAACAAGTAAAAGGCAAAACTTACAGTTTTTGGTTATCTAAGTATATAGTTTTATTCTTGAAACATTTGGCAAATACTGGATTTTACCACTAGAATAAAGTTTTGTCAACAGTAAACTAATTTTTATAAACTGTTTAGAAGTTATGTACAGTACTGCCTTGATAATCTTTAAACATATTACTTTATAATGTTTTTAATACACATTAAATATAATCTGGAGTGTGTTTTCGGATATCAGTGGAATGCAAAGAAATTTGGTGCTTGGGGCAAACACTATGTCCATATAAATGTCATATGCTCTTTTTCTTTTTGTATTAGTTAATTAACATAGATAAATCAGTTCTTCTAGCTGAATTCTTCTTACTAGTGGGTAGAACTGAGCAACAAGTAGAACTCGTTAATCAATTAGCTATTGGGCTTGTTAATAGATTATATTCAATTAATTGATTATTCTCGCATGAGAATTGGATAGTTGGAATAATCAGAAGCACTAAGTTCGATTAGTTGATTATTTTACATGACACTTTGATGTGATCTATGATTATAGGTAATAGCTTGTATCAAGATAATTACCCAGCTCTAATTGTTTCATAATTCTTCTATTCTAGTCAATCAAGAAATCTATAAAATTTATTGAGTTAAAAAGTGTAGATATTATATCTCTTCTTATCTAGTTCATACACAAAATGTTAAAAACGTATATGTAATTGTATAGAAATTAATGTTCTATATTAATATTACTTGATATTCATTAGTACAAAAGTTACATTACCATTGGTTTTGAATAGAATGTTTTCTAGCTGTCTGTTGTAGTCACATAAAGAAAGCTGTCTATTATATAGATAGATAGATGCATTTGACTGTAATAGTGCATATTTCTTTCCTTTAAAACATACACATTCAGATCTTTGTACTCACATTCAGTCACAGCAATGTATCAGACTTATTTTGGTGAATGTTAAATGAAACCTTGGGCTTGGTATTAAATATATTTTTGTAGGTAAATTTTGGTAAAACTGTGGTTATTTATATGGACACATACATCTGTCTACATAAGTAAGTATTTTTTGGGAGCATGTGTATATACACATTTCTTTTCTCTGTATAATGATACTTTGCACATGTGGATGAGTATAAAATGGAGAGACATACCATGTACCCCTCAGGTGCCTTAGCTAAGTATAATAATAA